GAGAGAGAGAGAGAAAGAGACAGATAAGAATTCTGCGTCAACTTTTTTAATCGCTGAACAGATATATCGAATGTAAATTAATAGACATTTAATAATACGTTTGCACAAACAATGCAGAGATCCACTCACCGCGAAGCTCCTTGACCAATCGATCCGTTTCTGCCACGTGTGCAACGTCGCGAACGAGACGTTTCATAGGATGATCGTAGCGCGATACCGGAAGGAAAGTGTGCACACTTAAAAGCTTTGATTATCTTAATATTGTATAAAGACGACACGCGCGACGAAAAAAAAAAAAAAAAAAAGAAGTGTATCCGAAGACTGTTAGTGAGGAAGGGCGAAGTAATTAACACGTAGTTTCAAGCTACAATCGAGCTCAATAGCGCGTTTACGTTGGCGACCCTTCATAATATCGTATCGACAAAGCTTGCGATCTGTATTTTTTAATTTACGTTTACGGGGCGACGCGCCGCTAGTCGCTACGGCCGTGTCCCGTTAGGTTTGCTATATTCTATAAGGCATTTGTTAACATACACCATAACTCTTCCCCTATTCTACGCGAGAGATTTCCCATTATTTGATATTATTAAGTGTACATAAGGAGAAAAAAGAAAAAGGATTACGGTGGTAATTGTATATAAATACTGTTACTGTTCTATAACTATATATTATGTAATATGAATATATAAAAAAAAAAATTGGTTATTTAGTATAACTTTGATGGTGAGATTTTTGACTTACGTTTATTTCGGGCTCCTTCACCTGCAAGACGGTGTCCAGAACTGACGCGCCGATCACTATCTGAGTAAGACATCGGTATAAATACACATTAAGTTATTGATAAGGATAATGGGAATGACTTTCATGCTGCGTCAGCCTTGAACGTGGTATGTTGTGATAAGGCATGTCGGTAAAATAATTCCTCGATGTTATTTTTTTAATACGCTTTAAGTTTTCACTTTACTTTAATTATTTTTTAAATTCCCTTTGCACTTACCGGTTTTTGCTTCGATATTATCGAACGTACAGTGGTAGATCCTGTCTGAGATCTCTCGTAGAGATTCGAGGCGATTTCGGCCGCGACCTTGGCATTATTTTCTATGAGAGCTATGTCTGTAAAAAATCGTCTTGAAATCGTCGGAGAAATAAGTGTTTTAAACGTGCGTGTAATATTATAGTATTTCACCATTTTATGTCTCGATTTGTTAGTCTCGGTTCACTCACTCGTTTCAAGAGACTGACCACGCGTGATCTTGTTGAGTTCGCTTAGAAGAAACGGCGTGATCTGCTTGCCCGTTATACGCATAGCATCGGCTGTCTTTAAAGCTTCGGAAATCGCGTCGTCCATAACGCTAGGCTGCAGCGCGTATCTTTCTGGAATGGAGACTGCAAATAATATCCCCGTGTTAATCCCCAATTTTCCCTGTGCCTTCACGATACCAGCTGCTTCCTCGGCATTGGAGATTCTACACGGTGCTTTTATCTTGTCTGAAGTTTCGGAACAGTAAAAGGCTGGGAATTCTGGTGTCTGGCCTATTTTTATAACCGGTACTCCCTGAGTTTCCTACGGAAATAAAAATTATATTTTTATGTCGATTTCAGGAGTGAGATTCAGTGTGTTGGATATTAATAAGTTATGAGACGTGGAAATGACTGTGTGTGTGTGTGTGTGTGTGTGTGCGTTTATGTATCTACCAGATACTCTAACGTCTTGCCAATGTCCAAGATGGATTTGACACCAGAACAGACAACTGCCACCGGAGTACGTCCAAGTTCAATCAGATCTGCGCTGATATCGAAAGTCAGTTCAGCTCCTCGATGAACACCGCCGATACCACCTGTTGCCATTATTGGAATACCAGCTGCATGTGCAATTAGCATCGTGCCACTGACTGTCGTACCGCCATTCAATCCTTGTGATACGATGAAAGAGATATCCCTGCGTGAACATTTCATGGTTCTTGCAGAGTCAGCTTTAGATAAGGTCTCCAGCTGTTCGCGGTTCAAGCCCACGTGTATCCTGCCATTTATGATTCCTATCGTTGCAGGTACAGCACCCTGAAGTGAAAACAGAATTTTTCAAGTATTGTTCAATCATAAAATAATAAACTTTTAAAGCTGCATTGATTACAATTCACGATAATTGAATAGAATTTTTAATATGAAACATTTGATAAAAAATAGTTTAAACTTTAATTTTAAAGTTTAAACAGTATATTCGTTTTATTAAATAAAAGAACCTTGTGTCAATCTTATAAACTTTTGTAAACTTTATTTTCGAATTAGATTGGAAAAGAAAAGGGAAGAAGGAATCGTGTTATACGAACTTGCTTTCTGACTGCGTCCTCAACTTTCAGCGCGGTGTTCAAATTATCAGGATACGGCATGCCATGCGTGATAATTGTCGATTCCAATGCAACGATCGGCAGGCCATGCTTTCGAGCTGTCGCGACGTCAGATCCGTAAACGAGAGAATGTCGGATGGCGATCGATCTCCGATGGACCGCCGGCGCATTGGATCTCCACGATTTCGTCACGAAATCACTCAAACGGACTCGGTACATATTCAAGGACTGATACAAAAACGGACAAACCATGTACCCAGATGCTCTCCGCGTTGTCTTTTAACGAGATAAGGAGACGGACGAGCGGCCGCGATAACCAAATGTTATTTGAAACGAAATAAGATAAACGGTGCCGATTGACCACGAGTGCCGAGTACTTGACGAGCGAACGATACTTTGTTTCATTATTTTATCTCTATAATACTCGTCGCGTTGAGATTCCTCGCTCTTCTATATTTATATTTGTACTTTTGTGCGACAAAATTGAAAAAGATCTTTATGTCGAATTTTTTTCTCGATTCCATTACCGGCAACTACAGAACTCTTCTTTCCAACTACACTTTGTGTTATACTTTCTGCACTTAAAAATTATTGTGAGTGTACAAATATTAGACATACTAAAAGAGAAAAGAAAATACAAAATACCAAAGATACAGAATTTATGCAAGATTTATTTATGTACAATCTTAAATTTTTGAGCTATTATTTTTAAAATTAATATATAACAATTTATTCGCTCTCTCTTTTGCACCAATTACTTTTTTAAATTTTCGCATTATTTAGAATGATTTAGAATAAACGTTCGTCTGTTAAAGTAATAGTTTGTAATTCTGATTAAAACGACTTTTTCCTTTCCAAAATTTTATATGAAGCTTAATTTTCGAATTATAAAGAGGAAGTCGGATACGAGAGGTAGGCAAGAATGATGCAACTTGATGCAACTTACTACGCAGGTACTGATCAGCTGATCGCAGTAGACGTCCTTGGACACTCACAAGCTGGAAGTTGCACCGTTTATCCACAATATAACCGATACGAGCAGTTTGCCTCCGTTCTGGGATGACGCCGAATTGTTGGCGGTATTTTCGAATTAAGGAAGATGAGAGGAGCATGAGACTGCTATGTTGCAATAACGTATGCACGATAATAAAGTTAGGAAATTATTGCATTCTGTGATGATAAAATTGTTATTAACGAAGATTAATTTTATTTTCGCAGCCGAGCAAAAGTTACGAGTGTAAACAATAATAATTAATAAGCCGGAAAAGTTACTAAAATTAAATTATAGTATTTAATAGTAGTAATTACGAAAGAAAAAAGGGATGTAGAATTTAAATACATAAAAATATAAATATATGCAATAATGATAATAATAATAATAATAATAATAATAATATAATATTAAATATAATAAGTGTTATTAAATGGCAATCAAGTAATTATATTGTAAATTATGATAAATTTTAATAACAATTCTAATAAATTTTAATAAAAGAAAAGGTAATTCTTAAATATTCAAGTTGAAGATTTCCAAATATATAAAATTATGTAAAATTTAATAATATAATGGATATAATTTAATAATGGATATAATTTACATGCGTAATGTAAAAGTTGATAAAATTTGGTAATAGTAAACGTCACTATTACTTAATAGACCATTTTGTGAATATCTCATTCGAGTCGTATGCTGCCAATTCGCTATCTACATGTCGCGACGATCCTATCGATTTGACGTCAGTTTTCGGGAAGTGGATTTCACACATATCGACATGTATTTCTCAATATTATTTCCACGTAATTGGAGCAGGGCACGATTGGAAATAACCGACGCTTCTCGGAAACAACGATGAGACGCGCACAAACCGATCAACCATGACAAAATTGCGAGTTTGATTTTTATTTATTTCTTCTTTTTTTTTTTTTTCTTTAATTCTTATCAGCATCTCCGTCGAAATTATCACGATTCACAGACGTTAAATTCGCTGGCTTTGCTGAGTCAAGATTACAAGATCATCGGGTCAATCCTAGTCGCGCCTAGGGTGGGGAAACGTTCGTAGGGGACGTTCTCGCGCATATAAGAAATGAAATTTTTCCCGACAAAGTTTCAAGTTCAAGAGTGAGAAGATGCGGGACGTGATTTCCGACATCGTTCGCTCTCGTATATATATCACATCGACGATATCGCGGCACATAGTCGATAGCCTTATTCGAAAAGTGTTCACGACGAGAATGTCCCCGCTCAAAGAACAGCTTTCCCATATAGAGGGTAACGATAAATATTCGCTTAGTAGATCAATGAGAGAGAAGGATTCGCCCTACTGGGACATACGCGCACATTTCAATGATGACGAGAAAAGGTATAGTTCTTTCAAATTATTCTTCTCTGACCGCTTTATTAATAAATAAATGTGAGTAAGTAGATAAAAGCTGTAAAATTCAAATTATTTATTATTGTTATATAAATTGTCCGCGTAACCAGATTCGAAATACGTATTGTTTTTTTTATATAATGTGCATTGTCAGTTTTACTAACATGAAGGCGCGTGTATAAGGCGTGTATAAAGCAATTTTTATAGAAATAAATATTTCGAACATTATCTTATGTATATAATAATATTACGATTTAAATTTTTGCAATAAAATAATGTTTCAGTTGTTTTTTACAATTGTAAAAAAATATATTTTGAGTGATTTCAATGATGAATTTTCTTTACATATGAATAAATAATAAAAAGAAACGGAAAATTTCGTCAACTAACGTCAATCACGCTGAAGCGATAGATAAATTCAGAAAGAATTCGCGTTTAGGAACGAGTACGAATTAGGCGCTTACGGTTACGGCAAGAACAATGTCAAGTTGTTGTACGTGCGTCGGAACGACGAGTTGCGCCACGAGATTCGTGAATACGAGGTCGACACGCACCTGCGTCTGGGCTCGCAAAAGGATTATCTGGAGGGTGACAATCGCGATATCATCGCGACGGACAGCCAGAAGAACACGGTCTACCTTATGGCGAAGAAACACGGCATCCACTCGCCCGAGGCGTTCGCACTTCTGCTCTGCTCTCATTTCCTCTATACGTATGAACAGGTGGCGGAAGTCAGCATCAACGTCGAGGAGTACCCGTGGGCCAGGTATCACGTTGACAACACGCCGCACAATCACGCCTTCATCATGTGCCCCACCGCGACGAGATTCTGCCAAGTCAGCCAGCTTCGAAATGGTATGATTCTAGAAAATTGATTACCATCACGTGCGATCTCCCCCCCCCCCACCGCACCGAATGAAATTAACTTGGGCAAATGGAAAAAACAAAACGGCGCTAAAGTGATTGGTAAATTAGGAATTTGAATATCTTGAGAGCGAAATTTATCGCGCACAATTTTTTACTTCTACTGCGGACGGTTCTTTAAATATCCCATTGTTTTTGTAGGAAACAACATTGTATAAACGATAAGATTTATTCGTGAAATATTGCTGAAGGCTCGATACCCAAGTTCATATTTTACAATATTAAAATATACGCAATATCTTTTCTTGCAAAAGAAACTTTTATATTTTATTTTTTATTTTTTATATTTTTTATTTGCAAAACCGAGGTTTGTTAATTTTTCGTTTAATTCGATTCTAGAATCACCACGAATACGCGGTGGATTAAAGGGACTGCGAGTATTGAAGACCACGCAGAGCTCGTTCACTGATTTCATTCAGGACGAGTACAGGACGTTGCCAGACATGAACGATCGTATTTTCAGCACTGTCGTAACGGCGACTTGGGATTTCTCTACTGCCACCGGCGTGGATTTCGATACCGTGTGGTACATGGTGAAGAATTGCATTATGCAGAATTTCGCAGGCCCACCGGACACGGGAATCTATTCACCCAGCGTGCAAAATACTCTTTATCTCACAGAGAAGAGTATACTCGATAAAGTCAAGCAGGTAATGCATTAATAAAATACAATTAAATACAATTGTTACAGAAAGTTTTGCCAAAAAATATTTTATATATGTACACGTAGAATAGTTTTATCAAAATTTTTAAGTTTTATCAAATTTTTTTAAAAATTTATCAGGTACAGATTTAAAAATAATTTTGGATCACTAAAATAATTATGTGAAATATTCAAATTGAATGTTAGAAGATAAAAAATTTTTGCAGTCATTTATCATCATACTTAAGTCTATATAATTTTGATGGCCCAATTAAATTATTTTTAAATCTGTAGTGGAATTTTTGATACTTCAGCAAAATCGTTTTTTTGCTATCATTGAATTATTTGATCTTACTTACATGGGAATAAAATATTTACAGATTTGCAGCATCGAGATGCAGATGCCGAACAAACATTACTTCGATATGGATCTCAGCAAATTCACTAAAGTTATACAAGGGCAGAACAAGGAAGTTTATTTGCCTATAGATAAGCCGTCGGGTATCATTTATGCTCGATTAAACAGAAAAAGTTTCTCTGCAAAATTGTAAATATGTGTGATTATTGAATTACTAATAAAGCTTAAGTTTTCTACAGTTACCTTATGTATAGCTACAAAACTTCTCTACAAACATGAAGTATCTAAAGCCCACACTTTAGACAATCTATAATTCAGATCAGATTTCAGGATAGAACTCCGTATCTTGTATCCGATTCTCTGAATGTCTTTTATATTACGTCATGTACAATTATAAATAGAATTACATTTTGAATTCTGACGCGAATTCTGAATCGTTTAAAATGGACTTTAACGATATCGACGTGGGACAAAAGACGCTCAAATTGTTAGAGAAAATTTTTTTTTTATTGGCGTTATCATCGAGCTACGAAAAATTTGACGTTAGAAAGTTCATTTCAAACACAGATTGTAGCAAGCAGGAATATGTTCTCGTCGATTGTAGATCTTCAGGACGCGCCTCCGGCGTGGTGGGAATTGGACTGCGTGAAATACGCGTGGGTTGAAATCTTCGTCGACGATTTTCCTGAGAGTAACCTCTTAATTAATCGAGGTGACTTATCGACGCAGACCCAGCTATACACCCGTGAGATCGCGATTAACATTGCTGATGGGAAGTAACGTGGTACGATTGACGGATCGGAGATACATGACGCGGCTCGCGTTCAGGCTGCAGAAGGATTACGAGGAACAGCAGAAGGCTCGCATCGAACGAAGGAAACTGAAGATCACCTCGATCGTACCGGAACTGCGCGAGGTAGTGCCGAGATCATTGCTGAGGATGACTCGGCGGCGTCGTCCATGCGCGCCGAAATTTCACGCCGATGCGGCTAAAAAGTGCAAACAGCTTCCGCAGCTGTTAATGACGGATGAATCGTGATGAATTCTAAACGCGTAACAATTAATATTTGTTTTGGCTTTGAAGATAAAATCTAAATCTAATGCGGAGGTGCGGAAGTCGAGACGCGGAACGCCTCGCGATGTCTGTTATGCGCGTAATAAATAACAAGCCATCGTAAAAACTTACTCCTACGCTTAGAAGCTAAACTTCAACTAATTAAATTCTAAAAGCTAAATAAATGAAGATCTAGCGTTTGATACTAATTTTAATCACATTCGTTATTTTCGAGAGCGAGGACGGATTCGCGCGACAAGCTCTAGGTCGTCGGCGCATCCATTCGCATCCTCTGTCGCGGTTTCTTCAGCAGATGAAAGACGACCGGTCGATTGACGGGAACCTGCACCAGTATTCCCTTGGAGTTACGATCGATCGAGTCAAATACGTCATCGGTGCCTGCGAAAAAAAGGATCTATTTTTAATGATAAGATCGCCTGGTCCTCCTTCACTTGTTCCAATCAACGAACGCGTCGATTGATTTTCTTCCACGCGGAATTATGGGAACTCACCTATAATCTCCTCGTTCCAAGGGTCGTCCCACAGCTGCTGGGAACCGGACGATACGATTAACGAGGGATCAGGCACGTGCTTGTAGTGGAAATCCGACCAGCCGAGCGACGTGAGAGTATCGCTGGAAAATAATCGCTCGACTAATTAATGTCGGTCAGTCACACCGATTTACATTTGCAAAATAGTCGAAACATCCAGCAGTGAAATGGAAATTAACGGAGCTTGGAATATTACTTTCCCTCACGCGATGACTTATTATTCCTAGATTAATTTCTTATATCAGACGCAACCATCGTGAAACGAGTTTAATTTCTTTTTATTCGATATTGGAACGTGCACCTACTCGTAGAGTTCGTCGAGATAATATTTATCCGGTGCTTTCCAGGCTAATCGAGGAAAAGGCATCGGGTAATAATGTATGTGATAGATGTGGCTCGTCTTAGGCTGCACTTTTTTCGCCTTCAGAGATTGAAAGAATTCCGTTAATGCCTTCTTAGGGCTGCAATGAGAGCAATAAGAGAATAGAAATGCAGAAAGTAAAAGTAAAACGATACATTTATCGTACATAAATACTTGCGATTTTATCTCGCTGGAAAGATTTATATGCATTATTTTCTTTTTTTCGCAGATATTAGAAAATTAATTAATTTTTAATTAATAATTAAAATAAAAAGAAATTTTTTTTACATTGATTTTCAGAGCAGCTAATAGATGACAGACTTCATTATTTATTTAATTGCAAATTTATTTTTAATAAAATTTTAAATTAATTAAAATTTAATCAAAATGTCTAAAATATATATCCAACATTATTCTGAACTTAAAAAAAACTGATTTAGAATTGATATATTTATAAGTCGGTTATATTTATAAGTCAAAAAGATAAAATCGATTCACAATATTCTATAAAATTTAATTTCTCTTTTCAATTTTCAACATCGTTACGAAGAAAGTATTAGAGACGCACTCACTATTCAAAAAAAATTCTTCTGTAGATCCGACCAGTAGCATCACGGGCAGCACCAACTGCAAATCACCACAATAATTAATTTGTTTTCAATCCCTTTTCGAATTTCTGATTTTCTCTACATTTTATACTCAATCGCACATGTATACTAATATCCACAAGACAATCTCGAAGCACACATAATATACATGTCGATTAACTTTTATTCGCTTTGCGCTATTAAATAATTTATTAGCAGATCACAGATCAGCACAAGCTCGTTGGACACGAGCTATTAACGTGGGCAATAAATCCGAAATGCACTTCCGCCACAATGAAGAACCAATTTACGACGTGTGACAACCAATTTTTACGAGATCGATACGCGTTAACGGCCGCCTTTACACCCGCTATTAAAATATCTACTCGTGGGTTCATTTACTTGCAATATCGGTCCCGTCTTCATGCTGCAGCACTTAACTGGGAGTCGCAGATCGGTCGGATTGGTTCGTCCGCAGTCTGCGATATACGTATACTACGACAAACTGAGAATTTCGACGAAACTGGATCGCTTTATAGCCGCGCTCTTACCCTCTTTCTCTCCTCGCGCTCGTGCTTTTCATTTTTCCCTCGGCCGTTGTGGTTCATCAGGCTGTCGCTGACTTTACACTTTTTTCGAACAGATACGCAGCCGCATTGTCATAATCGCCTTCCTCGCTACTCGGAAGCTACTCTGTAATCTCCGAACGCTGTTGCGTGTGACCTGTTATTGTATACACCGTTGTGAATTATTACGTTAAATAGAGGCATAAAAACATCTTTAAGTATAGTTTTATTAGAAAGTAAGAAGGATTATGTGGTGCTTTTATTTCCGCTTAGATGCAAATCTTTTTTCATTATTTCTTTATACATAAATGGTAAAAATAATTATTCCTTAAGAGAAAAGATCGATTCGAGAAATTTTTAAGTAATTTTTGATTGATTTTTAAATAAATTTGAACAAAATTTTCTCGTTTAATTGAATGTTTAAAACTTTTCGTCGAACTTCGTTCGTTAGACGATTTTTACATTAAGTGATAGATTCATTCATCAGTTTACTCTCTTCAACGAATTGAAAGATCTTACAATCATCTTCAACGAGCAATAAAAAAAATTTGCACATAAAAGGAAACAATAAACATATCACTTTACTTCTACTTTCTAGTGAAGTACATTGAGAAACCTTTATGTCTATTTATTCTTTTTGATGAGGTACATTGCGAATCTTACATTTATATACCAAACAGCTTTTTTTATTTGGAACTTCCGTTCTTTCGCTACAATCGTAATGAATTGTGACATCGAAGACGAGAAATCATGTAAATATTTTTCTTGCAATATACATCAAAGAAAATTAGCGTCTTCATATGGCACCATTCGCTTTCGACAGTATAGATTGATGTAGTGTATACCGGAAACTCCTTTTCCTAGCCTACATTAGTAAACGTGTATAATTCAAATTTTATATATGTCTTTTGTTTTTAGAGTAAGTTTTTATAACAATTGTTCAAGATTTACATTTAAATTTTATATATAATTTATTTGTCAAAAGTCAAGCATACTATACCTTCGATTAAATTAAATATAAAATAAAAAAGGGTTTTTAAAAATATTTTATTGGTGTAATAAAAAAAATTAACTATCCAATTTTAAAGAATATAATTATTTATCAATCCGCGAATCGGGAAGATCTAATCTTCGATATATTTAAGAAAGTAATTTATTTCCACGTGTAACGTAAAAAAGATTGGCGTGATTTTTTTGCTTTGACGTCATAACTTATAAAGCTGTAGTGACGCGGGATGAGAAGGCAATGCAATTACTTTATAGAGCAATTACTTTATTTACACGCACCAATAACACACTTGTGTTTTGTAATAAAAAAATTACAATCCTGTGAATAATCTGTTCTTTGTATAATCAATGAGGCGTGGTCCTGCTTCTCTCCGCGCTCGCGAACAACGTGAATGTACATGCGAAGTACATGCGTGAATGTTCGAGAAGTAAGATTCACTGATAGGTCGACTAACTGGAAATCGACGGTTTACCAGTGCACAGGATGTTCCACATGCGATTCTAATCGCGAGGATTACGATTATACCCCGCGGGCACCTTTCACATTCGCGCATAAAACGGAAGATGAAGAAAGGTGAAACTGACATTGTCGGACGCTTATTCTTCGGGGCGACAGGTTCACAGTAATTATCACATTTCCACCGTCATACATCATACACATGTCGCACTTAAGCCCGTAATAGATAAATACACAATAGAAATTTTTTTCTCACTGATTTCTTGAAAATTTATATTTTCTTAAATGTATTTCGCACGATATTACGTTCGAAAAATTTTAAAGGAAGAATTAAAAAAAAAAAAAGATGACGAAAGAAACCCTGAACGCAGTGATAGAAGACTATTCAAACAGATTATGTATTCGAGAAAATTTTTATTAAGAGGAAAGTAATGGGGAAAAAAAAAACAATGATGAAAACAGAAATCCTCAATCGCGCGGAAGATTTATGACGTCGTCTTCTTCAAAAGGTTGACATCTGTAACTTTGTTGCCAGCGGTTATAAATTTCACATGTTATATACGCTATTTTCTTTACTGCCCGAGAATGATCTATACGAGTCATTAGTACAATTTCACAGCTTATGAAAGCGCCGTGTCGTGAAAGATCAAGGGAAATAATGATCGCGCGATAAATATTTTCGATCAATTTGTCCGCCATTGGATAGGTGAAAATTGGTTTTACGATCGTGTTGTACCGGCTGTAATAAGCTTGACGAGGTGCGTTAATCAGTTTCGCCAAGACGTCAGAGACGTCCTACTAGCATGATAATCTCTGAACTGAACGAGGCAGACGAGCGACTTTCCTTCCTTTCTTTACGCGTGCGACGACAATGACGATGATGACTGCGGGACAACAACGACGACAGCGGAAAATCAACGAGTTCCGTTTCGTGCAAACGAAATGACGTTCGCCCTGAAGCCACTTGGACGGAGGCCGAGCCGGACGTGTTATTATGGGTGATCACGAAATAACGGTCATCCGTCTCCCTCAACGAGGACGACGAACAATGGTTATTTACACTCCTTGATATATTCCACGATGCGATTATCGTCATTTGCATCGAAGTCGACGCTACGAAGTCTTACCGAGACGGCCCACATCGAGCGATTAGGTTCATCCCGAGCCCGACAATAGGATCCAACTTTCGGCCGAGAAGCAACGTGCTACCTAAAAAAAAAAAAAAACGAAAATAGAGATGAATTAGAATCAAAGAGAGAATCGCGAGAAATAAAAACCTTGAAGTCATTTAGTAATCCTTTGTAATCCTCGCAATCGAGACCCGGGATCCCTCGTGATCGCGATTGACGGAACCAACCCCCTCGGCACGGGGGAACTTTCCCTACGAGAGAAAGTCGACGCAAGGTCATGGGCGACAGAGTGATCGGAAAATTGTCGAGCGCAAACCGGTTCTGATACAGGTATCCTTCGATCGATCCGTCGCCGTTGTCGTCGCCGTCGCTCTCATCGATACGTACGAGACGCAGTGCCTCTTTATATGTCATGCCCGTAATGTTTCTGGAAACAAAATGACCGCGAGGTGTACGTACGTGTAGCAACGATGGTTGCGCGATTTCTCTCGCACGCGATTGCCATCGTAGAAAAATAAGACTATACGGCAACGGACGGGGAAAACGACGGACGGAAAAACTGGAATATAGCGGTTCGTCGCAAGAAACGATCTAATACGCTTGTTCCTTCGCAATTCGAGGCAATCGTGGGAAATAATTTGGATTCAATTTTGTGCAAACTGAAAATGTTTTTATCTAACAGACTAATTGACTTCAGTAGAAAACCTTTTTTTTTTTTTCGGTTAGACGAATCGGTTAGATTATTACAGAAAATGTGAAAATAAATCTCTATAAAAAGAAATATAAAAATATGATGATTGAATAAGTTGCGAAATATTATACTTTATACCATTAGGATGTATTTGAACATAAAATAAAAAGCATATTTTGTATTAATTATAAAATATTTATATTTATATTTTGACATAATCTTTGACATCTTTTTATGGATAAAATGTTCTTCTTACTTGGAGAATTTAAATTATTATTCAGCAATTATATTATTTACTGCTTCTATTCCAAAAATGTTCGAAAAAAATGACGAATTCTATTCAGCAATAATCACATGTCAACGAGATTGTATTCTTTTTTGCAATCATATTTCTATTGTTATCTATGCTTTTGAAATTACTGCTTTTTTTCAACTGCAATATTTCTAAAATTATTTTTTTTAAGATATGTGATTCATTCAATTTTTTAAAATGTCTTATTGATATAAATAAAAGACAAGACATTCGTGCTTTTGATAAAATAAATAATTTTTCAATTATGTACTTTAAATTTCATAATCATCAATCGGTATATTGTCAATTGTAAATAATTAATTATGATGTTGAGATATTAAAGTCTTCTGATTTATCGATTGTGCACGAGATATTAAAGTCTTCTGATTTACCGATTGTGCACGTTACTTTTCTAAACAAACTGTCTTTCCATTGATTTTACATTAGATTTATAGAAATTCTTTTATAAGTGAAGTATATAAACTATTTATCGAATCGGTCGATTTTATATCAAAAACAAATAAAAGATGCAAAATTTTAGAGAATTTTATTTCCTTATCCATTCTATCTAGATCTATCAACTTGCGATTTGGTTTATGTAAAAAAAAAAATACTATAATTTGTATTTTCAAAATGAAAATAGCATGATACACAGATTACATGAGAAAGTAAGAACATGAGAAATTATAGAATTCTTAAAATTAAATATAAATATTTAATATATGAAAGATTAGCGTGTCAAAAAATTTATGCATATGTGTATTCAAACATACGAGAGTGTATTCATGTGAATATGTTAAATCATGCATTACTAATAATATTACAATTTATGATTTTTTTCGATGTTTTTCGTAGATATATGCGCGCATTATAGCGCGACATAATTACGTAACCCTGTATTATAACCGTATTCTTATTATCATAGATTACCGCTCTTTTATTTGAATATTTTTTTCATCTGCGACGTTGCTCGAGGTCACGTTTTCGAACGGACGATCTCTCGCCTAGTTTCATCTTGCCAAAACGAAAGGTAACGTCAATCCGTGCGTGCGACGCGCGACACACGGTGTCCCGAATTTCTCCTTCGCCTCTTCGTAGGTTGCCGCCCTGCCTTTCCCACGGGCGCGACGCGCGGTTCGAATTTCCCTCGCGCGTTGCTAGGAGGCGGTAAACGCCGAGGACGCCCGAGGGAAGATGGCAAGCAGGAACGAGGGTGTCGCGTGTTGAGAACGAACGGGAGAACGCGGTTACGACGAACTCCTCGCCCCGTGAAGGCGGCAGCGACGAGACAGTGCGGGCGTTGTTACCCCGGCACGGTGTCGAGTGTCGGGTCGCACGGGTCCTCGCGATCCGGATCGTGATCGGTGGCGAAGTGGCATTGGCGGCGGCGGCGGCGGCGGCGGCGGCGGCGGCGACGGCAGCAGCGGTATTGCGGAGTAGCGGTGGAACACCGCACGCCGCTATAGTTACGGATCTTCCTATCGCTCCTGCGTCGCGCCGTTCGAGAACGATGTGAACGCGCGTACACACGCTAGGTGAAACAGTGCCGGCGAAAGTGAGGCGGAGGGAGTGGGGGCGGTGGGGGAAAAAGGTGCTTCAGCCTCGGCGGACGGAACGGCCGGCGGCGGCACCGCGGTATCTTTCTCTCTTTCTCGTTTTCTTTATCCTTCTTCGGTTCCGACGAGGCCGACGATGTCGAACATGCGGCGGCGAGTCCTGCACGCCGACAGTGCGATGTCAATAATAACAACAACAGCAGCTACGACGACGAGAACAACAATAGCGGCCGCGGCAACGACGACGAGGAAGTCGAAGAAGACGACGACGACGACGACGACGACGACGACGAAGAATCGACGGCGCACCCCGGCCGTGCTCCTCCGTCAGTGAAACAAACACACGTACACACACACACACACACACACACACACACACACACACACACACACACACACACACACACACACACACACACACACACACACACACACACACAAGACACATACACACACACACACACAGAACACACATCACGTACACGCACGCGTACACACGACATACACACGTACGCACGCACGGCACGCACGCACCGGTACGCGGTTGCCGATGAGCGTGGATATATGGCGGCGCGAGTACTCTTGCTGAGTGTCTTGATCACGGAAGTGCTGAAGCCAGCTTGCGCCGCAGGTGCGTGCTCCGTTTTTCCCGTAGTGTTTACGCCTCACGATGCACCACTCCTCGTCGGCGAGGTTTTTCCATCCCGCGAGGCGCACCGGGAGGCGTCCCCGGATGTCCCGCGTTTCGCGAGACGTCGTCTCGAGTTCCGGGCGACGATGTTACTGGTTTATTATGGCGCACATGGGCCCAGTGCATCGTCGACGCGTTTTCCCGGATAATTTTTGTCCCGACGATGGTGCATAAATTACCATGAATTACCTCATTGATGGTGAGGAAGAGAGAAAAGAGAGCTAATGTTATCACGAAACCTGATATTGTTTTCGTGCGATATGCGTTTTATATGGCAAACGTCGTGAAGACTCGCACCTTTTTTCATGCCTATTTCTTAACTTAAAATATCACTCGCATATTCACAAATTCACTGAATATTCTTTAATCCTTTGAACAATGATTTTTTTATATAATGGAAAAATTTCCATTCGTATTAAAACAGAGTCTTAATGCAATAAGCAAATAGTAATACGTGAAACTGTCAAGGTCAGACATGAATTAATGGCAATATTGCAAAATTCAAGCAATACAAAAAATATATTTGTATTGCTTCAAAAATTAATCAAGATTTTATTTGTAAAACCGATATCATTAGTGATGTAATTTCTGATTAGTCACATCACTGTGAAATTGAAAAGAATCTCGAAGTTTTGAAATTAATATATTGCATATTTATTTTTTGTTATTGTTAAATGAGAATCTTGAAACATCAGTGTATTCATGTTTTGTAAAGATTATAAATTGTAATCTGCACGTTTTGCAGGTGTTAAAGGTATTGGAGGAAATATCAGTGGCAGGAATGTGTCTAAGCAAGACAGTGACATTGGTTTGACTAAAAGGTCTGGATTGACGGTGGAAATTCAACCTAGTGGCCATGTGATACTAGGAAAAAAGGGGATCACGCTTAATTGCATAGCTGATTCGAATGAGACTGTGACCTGGTTATACAATGGAATACCAGCACCTCCATGTGGTCTTACTCGCTGTGTTCTTTCCAATGGCTCTCTTCAAATTTACAAGGTAAATTCTTATTCTTATGCAATATTTTGCTGATTTATCATTGTGAGATCGTAATATTCGTGAAAAATGATATAACATTATCTGGTTAATGCAGAAACAATTGCAGAAACAAAATTCACAAGTGCAAAAGTTCAAAGGAAAGGAAAGAAATAGTATTGTTAACCATAATAAAGATGAATATCGCTGTGTAATACGTACTAATTTAGGAGAGTTGATAAAATCTGCTCCCACCTTTATTCAAATAGCAGGTAAACACTGCTCCCTAAGTAGTTATTTTTTAAACAATAAAAATTAAAGATCATGATTTCGACGAGTGTTATGTGTTACAGAACTTGCCCATGTATTTAAAGAATCTCCAGAAAATATTACCATTTATGAAGGCGAAGTTGCAAGATTGTCTTGCTTGATCGACAGTGTTCCTTTCCCACCCAATATTACATGGCAGCATAATGAAACATTGTTATCTTATCATAATGAATCAAAGTATTCTACGGTACCACCAGGTGTTCTGTATATAAGTGCAACGAAACTATCAGATGCTGGCTCATATAGGTATGATATGATTTATTTTATCTCCAGCATTAATCTTTTATAAACTAAATAATAATTGCTATATTTCAGATGTATAGTTACTAATGAATTTTTAAAGAAGACCAAAAGGAGCAAAGAAACAAAATTAATAGTTATATCGAGAGCAGAGAGTAACAAGTCACATACGCCGTCGTCCTTGTTCCCACAGGTTTCATATGATCATTGGCTGCTTAATGGTTCGAGTCTTAATTTGGCATGTGTCGCATCTGGTTATCCATCGCCACTCGTAACATGGTCATTTATTCCTCGTTATATAGGTAAAGAATTTGAAGTCACGGAACGCACGTTTAGTTAGTGAGAAAAACTTTAATGTATTTGGTCATATTTGTTTATAGATAATGTTACAAAACCTCGCATCCTTCTCAATTCCACCACTGGCATTAGTAAACTGTCATTAAGGAGCGTGAACGTTTCTGATGCCGGTGTCTATATGTGTTCTTCACAGAATTCTATCACCAATGATTTAGAAGTACAGGTGAGTGATTATTCTCGATGAAATGTAATAGATATTTCGCAGGCATTAATTAACTTTCGTATATACTTCTCGTTTAAATCCTTGCAGAATATAACCGTAGATGTATTAGTACCACCGTCATTTATAAGTACGCCGACGGATCAAATCTGTCCAAATGGAAGAACAGCGAGATTCGAGTGTCAGGCGCAAGGATTACCTTTACCTCAAATTTATTGGCTAAAAGACTCGTTGAATATTACTATTAATGGTAACATTATTAGAAATGAGGTTATAGTCTGTAATTATTAAACTTATAATTAATAATACGATCTATATGTTGACAGAAGCACGCAGAACAATTTACGTTAAGGAATACAATAAAACAGAATTAGCAATATCAGCAACAGTGCCGTCTGATTCTGGCATATACCAATGTGTGGCAGTAAATGCAGCAGGTGAAATTTGGGCTGCTGGCCGGCTCCAAGTAATTACATCGCGCAATAGTCCTGATACACCCACTTCTCTAAAGTGTCAAGCTCTTTCACCATTTAAAATCTTGATTTCTTGGGAACCACCAAAGTCTGTACCATATACCAGTATTACAGCTTATACCGTCCATTATAGTCCTTTAGGTAAGTTCGATAATACTTTCGTAATAAATATAACAATTGATCTAAGCCTTTTATTTTAATTTTCTATTTATTTATACATTTGTGATGTATATTTCTGATAATAGAAGGTGGTAAAGAGGAAGTTTCGCCAGAACCAGGGAATTCTACGTTTGTAGAAGTAACAAAACTTCTTGAGCCGTTTACAAATTACTCGTTTTATGTACGAGTGTGGAATGCTTATGGTGCTAGCAATCAATCGGCTACCATTGTGTGTTCCACAGATCCAAGTAGTACATATTGTTTCATTTATTAACACGTAATTCTAAATGTTCTTTTTAACTCGAAATCTCGAACTCGAACGATCTTATTTTAGTTCCTAAAGGCACACCAAAAATGCACGTGGATATAATCAGTAGTACAAAATTAAATGTATCGTGGGAACCTCTGAGTAAAAAGGAATCTCGCGGTGTTGTGGTGGAATATAAACTACTGTGGAAACTTCATCACAGTTCGTCCTTCAGATGGGTACAGCATCTACCTGCCTCTGTTCATTATTACATACTTTCTGGTATGATTTTATCCATTGTTTTTTCTCTTTAAACTTTGCCAAGGTAGAAATCGTATAATCATGTATTAATATTCAGGCCTAGAACCTGGGGCGCAATACGATCTTCGGGTATTGGCAAGAACAAAGCAAGGCGAACCAAATATTAGTGAAGCAGAATTAGATTGGGTTAATGTAACTATGCCATCTGCAGAATCTAATCAGTTTACTATAAGGAATGTTGTAGATATTCAAGTATTGATAATAAACGCTTCAATAATCAAGGTTAGTACGTGACATTTATTGATTGACTATTTTTATCCAAATTGCTTCTTAAACGTTATTCTGATTTTTGACCCTAGATGAAATGGAAGATTGATTTCAAACAAAGTGATGAAATTGAATCAAAGTTTGATTCTTGGAAAATTTATTGTGAAAATCAAAATGGCGAAAAATTAAAGAATATTAATTTACCACAAAATATTACTGAATACTTATTTACTGATCTTGGTAAGTATTCCACATTAAATGACGATACATTTTAACAGTATTATATACTAACCATAAACCAACCATAAAAATGTATTAACAATCAATTTTTATCCAGATATGAATGTTTCTTATACTATGCATCTATGTATGGTGAACTCGGGTGAGACAACAGCTTGCCTGACAAAATATGTGGAGACCGTACAATCCGATCCTAGTAAGTTGTCAGATTTTTATAGATCATAATCTCTATACTGTTTATAAGAATAAATAATTTTTTATCCAATATTGCAATTTAGATATCGTGCCAATGGCGTTAGAGGCTATTCCCGTCTCGCCCACATCTATCAATGTGTCATGGACATTGTCTGATGTGAATGACGTGAACTCATTCGAATTCTGTTATCATCCGGTGCATGCACAAAATTCTAACAGTTCTAAATGTACTATCGTGTAAGTATCACCTAATATTTATATGAACGTGCTAGGTTTATCGAAAGTTTTAAATCTTTATTAAAAATATATTACAGAAATGACACAAAAACGAGTATTGACAAGCTGAAGCCGTTTACTTTATACGAGTTTAAAGTAACAGCTATTAAGCATGATGCAAATCAGAGCAACTTCTATAGTAAATCTATAGAATGCTATACAAACGAAGATGGTGAGAATCCAATAGTTATTATCTTTAATAACACAAATATCAACTTTTTATATATTTTACATATTATAAACAAAACATTACAGTTCCTGGTCAAGTCGAGAAATTACAATGGTACTTGGTGAATAATACGAAAGTACAAATTACATGGGATGAGCCGAGCAACATAAACGGCGTTATACAAAATTATTTTGTCATGTATTCCATGGATTCATCAATGATGTGGAGCAGGAATGTGACCGTGGTTGGCAATAAAAGAATGACGAGTCTACCAGGTTTAGTACCGGGGAAACACTATTTCGTTAAGGTACAAGCAGCGACGAAAGCCGGTTATGGAAAACCGTCGAATACTATTGCCGTTTTTACTGGTGGTACTAATCTTAACGATAGTAATAGCGATGGTGGCAGTGGAACATCAAAAGTACCTGCCCCATCAGGTAATGAGAAAAACTCTAAGCCTGATCAAAGTCTAGGTGAGGAACAGAGCAGACTTTGATTTGAGATAGTCAATTCTATCAACTATTATTCACTATTATTATTTTATTATAAAAAACAGGCGTAATCCTTGGAGTGGGCATAAGCGTCGGATTTATCATGATATGCCTATGCAGTATATACTGCCGAAGAAAGTTCGAGAACTCTCGATTGAGAAACGACGCTCAATCTACGAACGGGTGCGCGCTGTCGCGAAACAGAAACGGATGTTGCATGGAACAGTCCTCTACGTCCGTAAGCCAGCAAGCAAATACCGCCGGTGTCCCGAATGAAATTGAATTGGCGGTACTGTGCCCGTCGTCGCCGATAGAAACAAATCCGCATTCGGACGCGAAGGTAATCCAACATTGAAGGTTCAATTAGATTGTACTTGCGTGAACCTTAATGAGAGACAATGTATAATATGTGTTATTCAGGGCACACAGTCTAATGGGATTTTCGAAATTTGCGCGAAAGAACCCTTATTATCTCCGTGGGAGGTAAATGGAGGTTCGAAAGATGTCCATATTATGGAGAATCCTCAGGTATTGCTACGAGTTTCTGATCACATCTTGTTAGACAACAAAAATGTGCTATTTATTCATTTCTCTTGATTGCAGTACAAAAGGAGAGGCAGTTCTGCCTCGAATAATCAACAGGAAGAGGAAGAGGAGGAGCAAGATTTAGAAGGCACGCAGCTCACAATGGTCAATTGTACTTTAGGCAGTAGCGCTAGCAGTTTAAATAACAATTCAGGATGTCCGGACGGTGAGACTTCATCATCGCCGAAAGCCACGTGCGCATCCGTTCCGGCGCTTGGACCAAACGGGTGAAAGTGCGTTAGGCAATACGCTAAAGTGTTCAATGCTTCTCAGCGGTATCAAGGTACAACAGGTAGGAGTATATGAATTCTCCTATTTTCTCCTTTCCTTATGGTCGACACGCCGCCATCGATCATGTTTCGTCATGTTCCAAGAATCAGCGCGCGAGAAAAAGAAAATAGTGCGATGTTCAGCCACGAAACAAAAATGAAAGCGATACAAAGTTATAGCTTTACAAAGCAGATATTGTCTGACACACGATCGATGTAAATAATATTGTTTCGGAAGAAATTGTGACGTTAGGCGCCACACGTCGCAAGTACGAGCGGGACGCATTCATCTCCCGAGGAAAACAAAACTCGTCTGCATGAAAATTTCAGCGAATTTCAACTCAATTCTAAAATTCTTTGCACGCTTGGCATTGTGCACTCACAGTGCGCAATGTGCAGTAATCGTGTGGATGATACTTTAAATGTTTACCAAACTCGTCGGTGTATACAGAATTATTCTAAATACCACTTGTAAGAAAAAATGAAGTATTTTTGAAGGGAACGATACAAGCTCGATAATTAATTCTAGAAAGATAAGCATATTTAAAAGTCTAATAAAGATAAGCATTCAATTTAAATTTTGTGTTAAAGACTTTGACATATGAGATTTAAATTGAATGGAATTATTTCAAGCAAGCTGGCTATAAGTGGTGATTGAGAGGATTCTAAGAAAGGAAAATAGCCGCTACAAAATGCAGAAAAGAACATAGAATTAGCTTATGATTCTAGAGTTAAATTAAACTAAAAACTGAATCGACCGAGAAAAAAGATGTTCTCTTCTAAATAAGGTATTTAAGAGAGAAGAAAACCAGGAATATGTCTCGGTCTAATAACTGCATAATTAAAGCGTCTTTTAATATTAAAGTTTTATGAAAAGATATTCACACACATATTCGCAACATTTAACATACATTATTTAACATACATTACTGACAAATTTATTGCAATAAATTCAATTCTTCATTCAGACTATCTAAATGCAAACGAAATGCAACGTTAACTATTGCTTCAAGAATGCTTAATTCATCACTCTCTATTGATTCTCAAATATATCGAATAATTCTGTGTAATACGCAAGTTACGTAAACATGTCGAAAATTTAAAGACGCGCAAACAAAATGGACTGAAATAAAAAAACAGTAAGTTTCCGATGCCTCTGTACATAGAATAGAATAATTGTTGATTGTGAATATGTTCATAAAAATATTACCCTTTGAATACCGACAGTGAAAAGATGTGCGAACGTACATTCCTTCGCGTGTGGGAACAGAAAAATTGCTGAATATATTCGGGCATAGCATGGCCTAAAGATTGATGAAGTTTCATTTTGACAACGGTTTTTGGACTAACGACTGCTTAAAATGGAACAGAGACACTGACCATTCCAAAATAAGTTTTCCATTCATATTTAATTAATTAAACAAAGAGAAAACATTTAGTATTAAGAAAACAGGGAAAGGCTCTAACCAGACGTTTTTCTTAGAGACGTTAAGAAAATTTTTTATTTCGTGTTTTCTTTTTTCTTCTTTTTCCTCTTTCCCTCTCTTTTCTATTTTTTTTCCTTTATATTTTAATGTACCGTATGTGTGTCATTAAGGTATTTCTTTCACAAAAGAAACGTTGATTTCTTCGAGAGTTAAATTTTTTTTGCATTTGGAGCTAGTGTGCATGATAAATGAAGGATTTGTTGAATAGCTCTTAAAATATTTGATGTAAGTTTTGTATTAGTTTAAAGTGAACTCTATCGATATATCATACTTTACATTTAAAAGGAGATCCTATGAATGGGAAGAATATTCAGAAAGATTAAACGTGCTCGGAATATCGCAATTTGAATGAACTGGCGTGTAAACAGGCCATCTTGTTTTTTCATAATTGTTTACTTCTGTAAGAGATCTTGAAGACTGCTGTATTAATAGACGATATTTTTATAATTAACAGATAACTTCGTCGGTGGGTGTTTACATGAAAAAAAAGACTTTACCTAACTCGTTAGAAGACTTTTACATAATTCCTCGGGGTTTTCTTTCCGTTCATAAGACTCGTATCGTTTTTAAGGCGATTAGGTAATCGACGTGATTAACGTCGACGTTTTCGTATGTACGATATTTAGCGTGTTAACTGGTAAAGCAGTTCTGTGTATTACACAAAAAGAAAACAGCATTCGAGACGAACCTACAAGACACATATTCCAGACTGGTGCATGTTACCATGACAGAAAAACCCAATACAGTACCTGATAGAATAAGCTATATCGTTTAGAATGAGACGTAGAAATGTCAATGTTATTGCTGTACCTCCACTAATTGTTATTTATTGCATTTTACATTCAATATATACTTTAGATGAACACATTACACACACACACACACACACACACACACACAGGATCATGCAATATAGTCACCATGAGCACAGTATAGGAAACAAATAACGCTAGAATTAATTCGTATTTTGCACATTAAATTTTTTAAAAGAAGTAAAATTATCATATATATATATATCT